GGGAATAAAGGAATGGATCCCTACAGTAGTCCTTAGATATTCCACTGTCGCATTCCTTCCAACCGCATCCCCCACTGCCTATTCATCACTACGGAACCGCTATGGGCTATTAGACCCTAAGATTCCCGATTAGGACCCTATTAAGGGTAGATTAAGGTATATACCCTTAAGGTCTATTAGCCCATAGTGGAATGGTTTCGGTTCCAGGGATCGAAGTGAAAGCCGAAGAGTTGAGGAACTGGTTCGCGAAGAGTCCCAACCCCGACCCCCAAAAGGATCTAGAAATTAGATCCCCTAGAACCATATGGGAAATTATATAAGGATTATATAGGGGTTATAATGGGTCTATTTAGGGGATCTAATTTTTAGATCCTCCCAGGGGTCTGGGAAGCGCATGATGCACAGTAGAACCAGATTTTCAAATGCCTGGGTGGGTGCCAGTTGCGCAACCTGCAAGGCAGCAGTTGTAAATAGGGAGGTGGGCCACGACACAAAGGTGCCACCCATCCACCGCAGCACAGCTTGTAGTGTCCAATCAGTGGATGCAGGCTTGGCACGTTGGAATTTGAGGTCGTGGTCCAAGTCAGCAAGGCTGGCTGGAACTTAGCTTCCTGGCCCCTTCGTAGGACATTTAGCTGCGCCAAATCTGCGCACCAGCAGGCTGCGAAGTGCTTTGAAGCATTTCATGCCAGGGGAAAGAGTACTGTTGAGATTATGATGGTGTTAGCAGTAACAATGATGAGAAAACACACAATGATAATGGCCAACAACTACTAGTACTACGCAACAGTAAGGATAGGAAAATCAACGGTATGCAGGATCTTGAACATCCACCGTAGGACTGTGTATCCCAACATATGCTACTATGATGTAATCTGCGGAGTATTTGGTATTAGGGAGAGGGGAGGTTTAGTACCAGGAAATGGGGTAGAGGATCCCAGCGCGATATGCTGTGTCGAACACACTTCCCCGACAATGAACTATTGTTAGCCCATGCTGCTTTCGCAAAGGTTCTCCCAAACTTACATGATGCCTCAGACGGCGTGGATGGATGAGCAGCACAGCCTAAATCCTAAACCCTAAACCCCAAATCCTAGATCCTTAACTCCCAGGTGCTTTACCCCTGAATCGCAGTGAAGCCTTGCGACTAAGCTCGATCTATGGGCAATACCTACTCCCTTCCCTCTAGTAAAAAAAAGATCCTGGTAGCCCCAACCCCCAACAGTAGAACCCTATGATGGTCATGTGATTGTAATAGGGTCCTAATTTCGGGGGTTAGGGTTACTAAAAACCCTCCCACTATGCAAACTAAATTACAACCACCCCCATCCTCCCCAATATAGGTTCCTTAACCAGCATCACACGTTTCTGATTACAAAACTGGCAATCATCCACAAGACGGTGGATACTAAACATCCTTCATGACCCTACATGCCTACACCTTGCGAATTAGGGTATTATGGATTCATGGTACACCCTGAGCCCTAAACCCTGAACCCCAAACCCTAAGCCCTAAAAGGGTTTGGGGAGTCTAGCATTTACGGTGCTAGATTAGGATGGGGCCCCACCCACCAATGGTGACCACAAGGGAGTGCGGAGCTGCCCGATGGGTTGCTCTAACAATAGCAATAAGAATAATATTAATGGGGTTAGGGTGTAGGGTTTAGTACTTTTAGTAGTGACAAGAACCATTTTACTTTATAGAATAAGAAGTGCGTTGCCCGAATAAGATAACAATAATGGTAATAAAAGTAGTGATACTAATCATAATGATAATGCTACTTCATAGTGGGAAGAAGAAGAAGAGCATTGTAAGGCACTTTATATGGGACACTATACAAGGGTAAGTGTGGCTTACACGCGGGGCTGGGAGAGGGGCGGAGACCACCCACCTGAAAATTGCTGAGGGCGTTCAGCTAACCCACAGATCCCAAAGGGGTTCTTAACATCCAGGTTGCTTAGGTGATTCGCCCACCCACAAGAAATTGCTGTGCTCATATTAGCGTGCTACATTTTCCTAAACCCTAAACCCTCCACATCCTAAACAGGGGCAGCGGGAACTTCCTACTTGGAAGCTCTGTTGAACTAGCCTATCTACCATCCCCAATAACCCCTATTACCCAACCCCCTAAGGGGGTTACAAGAACTGGGGTCCCGTTTGGGACTCACTATACTAGGGACGGTAATGTATCAAGGTCTGCATGTGCAGCCCCCTGTTTACGAAAACTACTTTAACCTCGATTGCTTCGTAGCCGTCGTAGCCACGAGAGCCTTCAAGTAAGTGGCTGAGCGCCCTTTCATGCTGACGAGGTGCTGAGTAACAATGCTCAGCTGCTCCTCCTCCAAATCTCCTCACGCAAGGTTACCCTAAACCCTGAATAGTAGTTTCTATTTTCTTTTCCATTATCCCAATATAACCCCGGTATTCTACCTACTTAAGGGGGACTATAATTTCGGGGTTAGGGCTTAGGGAGGTGGGTAGTTACCAGCTGGGTACCCGTACGTGGGGCTTATATGAGGCTTATATGGGCAGACTACGAATCAGGGCACGGCGATGTAAGGCTTATATCAAGCAAACTACCCACATAAGATTTCCTGAGATCGGAGTGTTGTGAGTATGGTCAGCTTAAGTAAGGGCTTGTAAGTAGTATATAGGTATGGGACAGTTTAGAACAATTTCAAATCTCAATTTAAAGCCATTTTAGTATTATTCCCTATATAAACCACCATTTAGGGTGAGGTCGGGTGAGGTCACTTTAAATTGCCCAGCAGGTAGTAAGGGAGCTATAGTATATAGGGTATCTAGGGCTTGTATTAAGTGTCTACAAGAAAGATCCCCTCCTGTTGTTGCCTTAGGGTTTAGGGTTTAGAGTAAGGAGGGCACCTCCAAAGAGAATCCAGCATCTAAGGTTATTCGTTATAAACCCTACACCCTAGGCCCTGAACCCTATAAATCCTAAACCCTAAGACCTAAACCCTGTAACCCTAAAGCCTAGCCAAGTTTCTTCAGGGAATTGTCTAGTGGGGAGTTGCTAGAGTTATGTAGGGTTTAGGGTTTGGGGACATCTTACAATACACATAGGGTTTAGTGAAGACATCTTCAGGCGTCGAGTTGCCAGGTGGGTACACCTACACAAGGCATTTTATATGAGCTTACCCTCACTATTTCTCAAATGAGAAACGGGCGTGGATCCCCATGGGGGAATATAGTAGGGACTATGCCAAGCTACCGCAGGGAACCGGTGTCAACCCTTACGCAGACCCCGTAAAGGATCCAAAAAATGGACCCCCCCCCCCCTTCCAAAAAAAATGGCTCCATTACTACATTGGGGAACCTAGGGGATTCTTAAGGGGGTCCATTCTTTGGATCCTTAATCCTAAACCCTAAACCCGCAACCCTAAAACCCTAAACCAAGAGGGTAAGCCAGGTCGTGACTGTAGCTCCTATGACTGGTGAAGCGTGGGATAAGGCCGCTTTGGGTTCAGGCCTAGACCCTAAAGGGTTTAAGGTTTAGGGTTTAGGCCTAAACCCCTTAAACAGCAGATTCTGAGAATGCTTTCTAAACACTCCACATTGCGCGGAGAAGGCAGGGTAAGCCCAACTCACTTGGCTCCTTCAACACACACCCATGAAGGCCTACATAGGCCCTTAGGCCCTGAACCCTAAACCCTTCTTATAGTGGAGGCCTGTGCGGAAACCAGCCAGACTTGACAGGTCAGTTAGGGTTTCGGGTTCAGGGTTGGTATTGGCGCATGGATTCGAAAGGGACCCTCAACCATGAACCGACACACCTTCAAAGTTTATGTTATAGTAATCCAGGTTGATTGAAGCCCTTCCAGTTTTGTGCGTTTCGTATGTGGAGGAACCGGGGTTTACGGTTTATAGTTACGCGGGATGCCTGAAGCCACGGACTAGTAATTGCTGTGCAAAAGGCATGAGGAGTTACATGCTGCCGAAGCCTCTCAGATTGTCCAGAGGCTGCTTTGGAAGCGGCCTGTCGACACCTGCCAAGCAAGAACAAAGTCAATTAAACCGTTTCGATGCTTTGTCAGATCAGGCCTCCACCGGCAAAAGCAGTGGTACACAACACGCCTGCCAAGCAAGAAAAAGTTCTGAGAAACCGCTTCGATGTCACGCCTCTGCCGAGCTAAAGCCCTCGAGCATGGCTTGTCCTAGACACACTGGTTTAGGGATTGTCAGGTTACTGGGTTGCTGTTAAGGAACATAGATAAAGTTACCATAACATGGATACGTAGTAAATAATATGATTTCCCCATAATGCCGTAATTCGGAATTAACAGCAGCCCCGGCTCCTGAGGGGTTCGGGAATCCACCTTCGAAGGGATTACAATACGTTTAAGGGATTCTCAGTGATTGTCAAATCTGTGGTTTTTCCTTGGGTGCCCTCAACATGAGGGGCCATGTTTAATTAACCAGGGACCCCGAAAGGCACAACAATTTTGACTTCTGCCATCTCTTCTCTCTGGACAGATGATGGCGGTGAATTGGAGGCGTCCTGGGCTTGGGAAAACTACTTAGTGCAGTAATGAAGGTTATGAGGCCTACATTGGGGTTATATTGTAAATAGTCAGTAAGTAAACTTCATAAGTGCCGTCAAGATCTTCAAGTAGAATCATACCGCCCGCCCCCTGCACATGACAAAAATTTTCCCAGATAATTGATTGACATGGGTTCCTTTCTTGGAGACTAGATTACGATCTATACTGAACTACAAGACGGAGCCCTTTGCAAACAAAATGATCCGCACTGCCTCCCCCTAGCGCAAGCATGGTGATGACATGCTGTTGTTCATCGGAAGCATGGATGTCCTTAAAAAGCTGGATGGCTTCGAAAAACCAGAGGGTTGGGGGGGGCCGCAGCCCGCCCCATTTGCAAACTACATGATCCGCACACCTGCGGCAAACATAGCGACGACTGAATGCCGCACCCCCTCCGTTTGCAAACAAACTGCCCCGCACAGCCTTTCCCTATTGCAACTGATGACAAGTTTTTTTGTCACATTCAGCATGGATGGCTGTAACAAAAGGTGTGGGGGTTGGGAGGAGCTGCGTGCGTGTTATAGACCCCTATGTATCCTTCGGGTCGCTCATGGCCTCCTGTATGGGAAATACTAGTCAGTTCTTCCTTGATTCTTTCCTTCCTTCCTTTCTTCGTTCTTTCCTTCCTTCCTTCCTTCCTTCCTTCCCACCCTCTTGCGTTCTGTGTCTATGTTTCAAGCGGATGGTTTTTGATCCGGAAAAATTGAGCTTCCTTCCTTCCCTCTTTCTTTCCCACAATTTGTGATACGGAAAACGCTTTTTGATCCGAAAAAAAAATGACACGCATCTCTTACAAGCCCCCAAACAAAAAAACATGATGTTTAGAACCCCCCCCCCCCCGCCCAAAGCAGATTCTGGAGGATCTTATTTTTGGAATTTCTTCCTATGTC